ATTCCAATAACGTAACTTTGGGATTACAAATATTGGCTTCTTGGAAACAGATGAGGGCCTGAAAGTGTCTCCTACACCATAATACTAAAAAAAATCATCTTTGTAAATCATTCATCAGTCGATGAGCATTTGGGTTGTTTCCAAGATTTAGCTATTACAAATTGTGCTGCTACAAAATTGGGAGCACATATATAGCTATGGTATGATGCTTTTAATCCTTCTGGGAAGATATCCAGAAGGGGAATATCTGGGTCAAATGAGACCTCTAATCCTAATTTTTTGAGGAATCTCCACACTGACTTCCACCGTGGTTGCCCAGCCTACACTCTTTATAATTATAGCCATCCTAGTGGATGTGAAACAGTATCCTGTTATGGTTTTGATTTGCATTTCTCTGGTGGTTAAAGATCATGAGCAACTTTCATGTTCTCATTAGCTATTCTCTTTTGTGGAGAGTTGTCTATTCAGATTATTTGCCCACTTTAAAATTTTAGTTTCTTTCTTTCTTCCTTTCTTTTTTTGTTTTGAACTCACAATGATCCTCCTGCCTCAGCCTCCCTAGTACTGAGATTACAGGTATACGTCGCCATCCCTGGCTTTTATTTATTACTAAGTTATAGAGTTATCTATACAAATCTCTTCTCAAATATGATTTGCAAATATTTTCTCTCATTCTGTGAGTTATCATTTTATACTCTTGAGGATGTCCTTTGAAGTACAATAGTTTTCATTTTTATGAAGCCCAGTGATCTATCATTTTGTTATTGTTGGTTTTGCTTTTGTGTCATGTCTAAGAAATCATTGTTTAATTTAAGATGAAGAACGCTTATTCCTATTTTTTTCTTGTAAAGCTTTTGTAGTTTTAGCCCTTTTAATTAAGCCTTTGATCCACTTTGAGCTAATTCTTATATATGGTACAAAGTAGGAATCCAACTTAATTCTTTGGTATGTGCATATCCAGTTGCCCGGCACCTTCAATTAAAAGAGACTATTCTTGCCTATTGAATTGTTTTGGCACTGCTTTCTAAAAATTAATTGACCACAAATAGTGTTTATTTATGTTTCTGACTTTTGTTTTTGTTTTTTGGTACCAGGAACTGAACCCAGGGCCTCATGCTTACTAGGCAGGTGCTGTGCCACTGAGCTACACCCCTGGTCCAATTATTGTAATTTTATAAGTCTTTAAATTGGTACTTTTTTGGAGACAGTGTTTCACTATGCAGTTCACTCTAGTCTTGAACTCACTTTATATCCCAGCCTGGCCTCAAACTTAAATTCACAGTGATCTTCCTGCCTCTGCCTCCAGAGTGCTGGAATTACAGGCATGTGCCACCACACCCAGCCTAAATTGATATGTTTTAATCCAAATTATTCTTCTTTTTCAAGATTTTTTCAGTTATTCTAGATTCCTTGCATTTTCATATGAGACTTAGGATCAGCTTGTCAATTTCTGTTGAAAAAGAAAGCCAGCCTATATTTTATTTTATAATAGATTGCAAATTGAAAATAAATTATTTACAAACATAAATGAATATAACAATAACGTTGGACTTCTGATAGGAAGAAAAGGAGAATGAACATTCAGTCCACTAAGTCTTTGCTATAGTCCTGTCCTTCAGTTAACCAGTATTTCTCTATTTCTGAAATGAGAGCGTACCCACCTTCTTCTAAGTGGCAGCATCTGGATAGTGTCTAGTTAGTTCATTCGACTGAAAGCCCAGGTCTTCTGAGTAATTTTAGGTCTTTCATCAGGTTCAGACATGACATATTGTGAGAAAATGTGGCTAAATGCCTGCACTTCCAGGTAGAGAGAGAAGGGAATAATTCTAAGTAGAAATTCTCATTTGGAAAAGCAGTGATCAAGTCGTATTGAACAAGAATAGCTGAGTCTTTGACCTGGTGATAAAATTTCCTTGGGTGATTTATCTGACAGTCCCTGGTTCTGCTTCCTAGGCATATTTCTTTTGCCTGTTGCCTACAGGAGATCTTTTTTCTGTTGTCTACCCTGGCCATAGCTGAGTTCTACAATAGGGAGCAAGCCAGAGAAGGTCCTTTTTCAAGGGTGTAACGAGGGGCCGGGGAGATGGCTCATAGGATAAGTGCTTGACTGGCAAACTCAAGGATCTGAGTTCAATCCCCGGTTCCACCAAAAAAAAAATCAAGGGTGTAACGAGCCAGGAGTATGGTGGTGTGTTCCTGTATTTCCAACACTAGAGAGGCTGAGATGAGAAAATTACTTGAGTCCAGAAATTGGATGCCATTCTGGGATGGATGTAAAGTCAACCATGCACACAGAGTTTAACAGCCTGAATACCCATCATTAGGGAATGTGGTAAATAACTGTAGTGTTCATATAGTTGTTTACTGAATTAAGATGACCCAGATGTATGAATAAGGAATGAATGTCAAGATAGAAGTAAAAATAACTGGCTAGATGTAGTGGTACACACCTATAATCCCCACACTCTGCAGCCTGAGGCAGGAGGATTGCTACAAGTTCAAGGCCAGCTTGAGCTATGTATTGAGTTCAAGGCCAGTCTTAGCTACAAGTGAGCTCAAAAAAACCAAAAAAATAAAATAAAATAAAGGAAGGCCATGTGTGGTGGCACATGCCTGTATTCCTAGCACTCAGGAGGCTGAGGCAGTAGGATCACTTTTTTTTTTTTTTTTTTTTTTTTTTTTTAATGGCAGGCTCAGCCCGTCAGCCTGCCTTTGGGGCCAGGCTGGACTTGCATGGCAGTGGTACCCAGGAATCAAACCTTGGTCCCTGCACTTGCCTAAGTTGCCTAAACAGGCGCTTTAGACTGCTGAGCTATCTCGCTGGTCGATTACTACAAATTTGAGGTCAGCCTGGGCTGCATAGCAAGACTCCGCAGCCAAAAAGAAAAAGTGAAGGAAGAATCCTCTATTTGATAGACTTATGAGGAAGGAGAGAGATGTATAGTGTGCTGAATGTACAGAGATAGTATGGTGGCCTATCTTGTCAATGTGATTGGCTTAAGGGACATGTAGAAGATTAGTAAAGCATAGTTCTGTATAGGTGATGGGGACTATATTTGGATCCTGGTTCTTCCTCTGTGCACTGCATTCTGATTCTCATGAGGTCCACAGCTTTCCTTTGCCACTATGGTGTTCTATTTGGAGCCAGCTGGTTATGGGTTGAAACTTCTAAGCCCTTCCTCCTGTGTATGTCAGGTATTTTGTCCCAGCAATGTAAAGCTGACCAATATCAAAAGTTTCTGTAAGTATATGCAAGAAATTAACTACACAATTCCTAAAGTATGTAGTCACACAATCAGAAGTAGGAGGGATGCTTAATTTTCATTTTATACCTATTTATTTTAGAGAAATGTGCACCTTGTGCACATATTTGTCTTAATTTATACTGTCATCCTGATAAAATGTTTTTGACTAAGAAAAAAGAAAAATAACAAATGATTTATGAGTCTTTGTGATTCATAAAAAATATTTATCTCCTAATTGCCTTCAGAGACTCTCCAGAAGGTAGAAACTGGGCATTTGGTATTGTCGTTTTCTGGATGAGTAAGCCGTTAAGCCCTTGGATGTCCAAACACACTGTGAGGCTTAGCCTCTACTTTTTCTTTACCCTCTTTAGCAGCAATCTAAGATGCATATTCCCTTTTCCTCTGCAGTGGAAATCTTACTCAGCCGACAAAAGAAAGCTGAACTGCTAAAGAAGATGACTGATGTGGCTGTGCGAATGTCAGAAGAGCAACTGGTTGAGCTCAGAGCTGATATCAAGGTAGAATTTCCTTCTCTCTGGCTTTTCTTCTCACACTCGTGAACTAAAGGGGCGAATTTCCATAATTCATAGCCATGTGTAACGTATTGAACTCATGATCTTTCCTTTCCAAACCTGGCCCTTTCCCAGGTTCCCGTCCTTTATGTAAGTAGTACTGTCATCTACTCAGTTGTCCAAGCTGAAAACCTCAGGAAACTTCTATTTCCATTTTCCATGGATCAGCAGACCTTGTCCATTTGACCTCCTACTACATCTTAGTTCTGACCTTTTCTCTTTATCCCCACCACCTCCTTCATGATCAAGCCACCACTATCTGTTGCTTGAATTTCTGTATAAGCTTTTACCTAATTTCCGTCCGTTTTACCACTGCTCCACCCTCCCTACCCCTGTGTTCCTCACACTATAGTAATTTGCTTCAAAGTTCTCAGTGTTTTGGGGATAAATACTGTATTTTCTTTTTCTGTGGGGCTGTTGAGATATGCTGCCACTATAGTTAGGGCTGGAGTTGAACTAATTATGTAGCTCAGGCTGGTCTTGAATTTGTAGTGAGTCTCCTATGTCAGCCTCCCAAATGTTGGAGTTATAAACACAAATGTGCACTAAATTCTTAACATAGACTACAGAGCTCTGCCTGGTCTGGTCCTGCCACTATCTTTGTTTCACAGCGGGACCGCTTTACCCTCTGGGCTCCAGTTGTAGCAGCAGTGCCGTGCTACAGACATTTCCTGTTCCCTTTGCTAGAGTGGCTGTCATTATCTGTCCCAGACATTCTTCTCTCCTTCTGAGCACTCTTGAGCCACTCGCTTTGCTTGGCTTCCATGTGCTGAGGTTTCATACCAGTTAGAACCTTACATGCATTTGATTAACCTTTGTTCTCTGCTAGACTGAATTTCACAGCAGCAGGACCTACTGTAGCCCCAGTTCCTAGCAAAGTGCTTGGCATGTAGCAGGCATTCAATAAATGGCAGTTGTTGGGCAATTCTGATTTTTTTGGGGGAAGGGGTTCTGAGGAATGAACCCAAGGCCTCACATAGGCTAGGCGAGTGTACTACTATTGAGCTATATACCCAGCCCTCAAATTTGATTTTATAGGAAAAATGAACAATTTGATATTTTATTTTATTTTATGTGTGTGTGGCCAGCTCAGCCCACCAGGGGGCGGGGCTGGCTGGCATGTGGTGCTGGAGGATTGAACCGCGGTCCCTGTGCTTTGCTAAGCTTGTTCTAAGTAGGTGCTTTAGACCACTGAGCCATCTCACCAGCCCCAACAATTTGATATTGATTATGTTATAATCTATGAAAAGATCACTGGTATTTATCATTCATACCATTTATTGCATTAACGAAGATTGAACCCAGATTTTTCACACTGTTTACATTTCCATCCCTTTTTAAAATGTTTTTGTTCTGAGATATGGTCTCCTTAAAGTCATTAAGTTGGCCAGGCTTCAGTGATAACGTGGATTATGGGAGTATACATCATACTCAGCTTAGTTTTATACCTTTTAAATTCTTATATAAAGAACAGTGTCGGGCTGGTGAGATGGCTCAGTGGTCTAAAGCACCTACTTAGAACAAGCTTAGCAAAGCCCAGGGACCGCGGTTCAATCCCCCAGCACCACATGCCAGCCAGCCCCACCCCCTGGTGGGCTGAGCTGGCCACACACACACACACACACACACACACACAAAAAAAAAAAAAAAAAAAAAAAAAAAAAAAGAACAGTGTCTCTGAGACTAAGCACATGAATCCAAGAGATATTAGGGCATTCATAGGCAGTTACGGACACTGAAGGTATAAGCAATTGTTCCTAGCCCTAAGCTGTATTAACAAGGGAAGATGTTCTTTTGTGCTCCTGAGTCCTTACCCTCTGATCTTTCTGAACACATATGCTTTGTTGCCAGATTTGATAGGAACATTGCTGCAAAGACTAAAAACAGCTTCTGTATAATAAATAGGTGAAAAGTCATCTTTCCAGGGTCCTTGTTGTCACTGTGAGTCAGTGTTTAACACAAACCTCTAGAGTGTTACTGTCCTCTCTCTCCTTCTCCTTAGAATCTGTTGGAGTGAAATACCCAGACAACAATACACACACTTGCACATTTTTTATTTCTTGAGATGGCTTTAGGCTGGCCTTGAGTTCACTGTGTAGTATAGACTAGTCTTAAACTCATAGCAGTACTCTTATGCAGCCTCCTGAGTGCTTGGTATTACAGGCATGTTCCACCACATCCAGCTCTAAACACTAGCTTTAAATTACCATTTCCTTCGGGTCGGGGAGATGGCTCAGCAAGGCCTGAATTCAATCCTTGGTTCCGCCAAAAAAATAAATAAATTACCATTTCCTGTTTAATTAAAACAATATTACAAAATTTTATAGAATGTCTTCCTCCTATTGGCCCCAGTCAGTTTCATTCAACCGTCTGGGAGAAACTGGAAGCCCCTTGGTAATTAGATGAGAACTCTGGTTCTCCTCAGCATTATCTGCTCCTCTTTCATGTGGCTGAAAGCCTGCTGGAAATATCTCTTCAGTCGGAGTAAGGCTGTGTTTCTCTACATGTTTTCAATGTACTGAGGTGGGTGCTGTGCAATTTAAGTGTCCTATTTCCAGATCATTTTGTTTGTACCACTCCTATTATGTCTTCAGCTCCACAAACCCTAGAATTTGTCTCAGAATTAATCTCAGACTGATATTATATGTCTGAAGGCTCTATTATAAGAGGTTCTCCTGCTTTACTAGCTACAGTATATTCAAACGCTTTAGGACTTAAAGGCCCGGAAATAACTCTTCTCTCTCCCTTCCCTGTCCGTGTTTCTAGATGCCTCCTAAGTGTTCTGATGCAGTCAGTGTAGGAGCACACCATCCCCAGCTAAGGGGGTGGCTCTGAGGAGTTCAGTTCTTCCAAATTATATCTAGGCCCTGAACTTCTTCATCTGGTGCATTTGAAAAATGACTTCTAAACTACATTAGGCATTGCTTATTGAAATAGATCTCCAGAAACATTTTATTCCTAATATGTTTCTAGTTCCACGAGGGTTTGATTACTTCTCACCTCAGTCTGCTTAAAAGGATTAAATCACTTGAAGCATAAACTCTTCTTGTTTGCAACATTGACTTTTCCATGAATGTTTTTTTCATTTCAATAAATTGTTCCTAGGGCCCAGGAGATGGCTCAGTGGAATAAGCACTTCCCTGGCAAGTGCAAGGACCTGAGTTCAGTCCCTGGTTCCACCAAAAAAAAAAAAAAAAAAAAAAAAAAAAAAAAAAAAATAAATAAATAAATAAATAAATAAATAAATTGTTCCTATAAAGAGATGAAGTGGATTTCCTAAAGAAGTTCCTACTGAAAAACGCCAAAGTAGCTCTCTAAATGGGATTGTTATCATAGTTTACAAACATCTTTGCTGCCTCTACATTGTGGGAGGCTGGTTTGCTACTACAAATTTTCTCTCCTTTTTTCTTTCTTACAGTTTCTTATTATACATACTGGACTTTGACCGTCATGTAGTATTTCATAATATTTCTAAACTCATCTTTGAACCTTTGAGAAAATGAGTGTGGGCTGGGGATTTAGCTCAGCAGTAGAATGCTTGCCTAGCAAGGTGGAAGCCCTGGGTTTGGTCCTTGGCACCGAAACCAAAAACTAAAGCTCACCTAAAGAGCAATTGCAACCAAAAAAAAATGAAAATAAGGGCCGGTGAGATAGCTCAGTGAACTAAGTGCCTGCTTTGGACTAAGCGCCGACCCCAGCCCCTAGATGCACTGAGATGGCGAAAGAGTCTGGGCCTGGTGGCGCATGCCTGTAATCCCAGCACTGCGGAGGCTGACAACAGGAGGATCACTGCGAGTCCAAGCTGCATAGTAAGACCTTGTACCAAATACCTAAATGAAAAAAAAAAAAAGAAAGAAAGAAAAAAGATTAATGTGGGCTGGTGAGATGGCTCAGTGGTCTAAAGCACCTACCTAGAACAAGCTAAGCAAAGCACAGGGACCACGGTTCAATCCCCCAGCACCACATGCCAGCCAGCCCTGCCCCCTAGTGGGCTGAGCTGGCCACACACACACACACACACACACACACACACACACAAATAAAAAAGATTAATGTGACAGTTAATTAGTAAACTTTGAAGCAGTTGAAAGAAGAAAATGGAAAGTAATGTAGCTTTTAGGCTGGATGTGGTGGCACATGCTCCCAGCACTGGGGAAGCTGAGGCAGAAAGAGTGTCATGAGTTCAAGCAGTTTGTGCTACATAGTGAAGCAAGACCCTAACCCTGAAACAAACAACGGGCCAGGGTATAGCTCAGTGGCACAGCACCTGCCTTTGCAAGCACAAGGTGCTGAGTTTGATTTCCAGTGCCCCCCTACGCAAACAAATAGGAACACTATTTTACCCATATATAGTAAGTTACAGTTTTCTTGTACCGTGTTTGTCTAACCTGCAGACATTTGGCCTTTCTTCAGCACTTTGTTAGCGAACGTAAATATGACGAAGATCTGGGACGAGTAGCCCGGTTCACTTGTGATTTGGAGACTCTGAAGAACAGCATTGATTCATTTGGACAAGGTGAGACGGTGAGAGATTCCAGACAGTGTAGCTGTCCACTGTTAGGAGGCAACTCATGTGCTGATTCACCTCCACTGAGCTCCTCAGTGCCTCTTGGTTGTGTGTTTCATGAAAAGTAACTTGGAATATACTTTGAACTCTGAGGATATCTGCCAGATACCTGTTGTAAACTGATTTAAAAAAAAAAAAAAATGTTGAGAGACAAATAGCAATGAGACAGTTTCAAAACAGATTACTAGCACAGTTTCACTAATTAATACATTGCATATTGTTGTCTTAGTGGTTATTCACTGTACAAGATGCAGACATGACAGCCTGCCCACAAACAATATTGGAACAAATCTCTCTATTCAGTGATCAAGAGAATGCAGCTGTGTATCTGAACTATTAAAATGTTCTTTTTCCATTATTTTTTGCTAAGTTGAGAGGTATACCCCATAAAGACCTTGGGACTCTGGAATCAGACCTAGTTTGAATCCTTCCCTGGACACTTCCTTGGATCCTCACTTTACTGATTTAAGTGGAGATGACAAGAGATAACAGTACTTGCCCTGCCTGGCACATAATAGTCCCTTTGTGTGCGTCCGTGTGTATTTGTGTGTCTGTGTCTTTTCCCATGTGTGTATGGTACTGAGGATTGAACCCTATGTCTTCCCAGTAAGTTGTGTCTTCAGTCCCTTTTTAATTTTTTTTATTTTGAGAAAGTCTTGCTAAGTTGCTTAGGCCGGGCTTGGAATCTTCTTGTTTCAGCCTGCTAGAGTGCTAGGATTACGGGCATGTACCACTGTACCTGGATAGTGAGCCCTTAAATAATAGCATTAAAGATGGAGGTGGGTACAGTGCCTCAGAGAGAAAATTTTTTTTTTCTTTTTCTTTTCTTTTTTTTTTTTTTTTGTGGCCGGCTCAGCCCACCCTGGGGACAGGGCTGTCGTGGCATGTGGTGCCGGGGATCGAACCACAGTCCCTGTGTGCTTGCCTAAGCAGGTGCTTTAGACTGCTGAACTATCTTGCCGGCCCCCTCAGAGAGAGACTTTGTGCTCAACCAGGCTCTGAACTTAGCTTCACTGTTCTGTTTCATATAAAAATGAACTGTTGGGGCAGGGGCTGTGTAGTTCAGAGCATAGGCCTACATGTGTAAGGCCCTGGGTTATATATCCACGTTGCAAAAAATTAAAATATTTAAGTGAAATGTTAGCCTTAGAACTGGTTGTTAGTTCATCATTAGTCCAGGCTTGAGGCCAAGAAAAAAGTCAGGAAAGTAGTTTTAAACCATTGAATTCGGACTTTTTTTTTTGCGGGGGAGGGGGTGGAACTGGGGATTGAACTCAGGCCCTTGTGCTTGCCAGACAAGCCTTTATTCTATTGAGCCATCTCCCTGGGCCGAATTCTGACATTTTGAAATGAAACCATTAATATTTTTTCAGTTAGATTGTGTCTTAGTTACTTTTCTGGTTGCTGAAACAAAATACCTGACCCCCAAAATAAGAGGGAGAAGGGTTTATTTAATTCACAGTTTGTAGAGGTTTCAGTCTGTATCGGGTGGCTCCAAGGCAGGGTAGCATGGCACATGTGCTGTACATGGTGGGGAAAAGAAACAAGGAGCAAAAAGGGGAGAAAAGCTTCTTACTGTCCCCTTTTATCTTTTCCAGACTGCTGGAATTAGGGCACTGCCAGTCCAATCAGTGGACAACCACCCACCCTTAATCCCAGTGCTCTTAATCCCAGCACTGCACTCTTAAGTCATCCAGTTATTCTAGATTCAGCTGCCTTGGAAAAAACTCCACCTAAAAGTACATGAGGCTTTGGGGAGACATCCAAACACAGACTAACACACTGATGTTTTGGACTTGGAGTTATTATTTTTTTTTTAATTTTTTTTACATTTTTATTTATTGTGTGTGTGTGTGTGGCCAGCTCAGCCCATCAGGGGGCAGGGCTGCCTGGCATGTGGTGCTGGGGGATCGAACCGTGGTCCCTGTGCTTTGCTAAGCTTGTTCTAAGTAGGTGCTTTAGACCTCTGAGCAATCTCTCCAGCCCCTTGGAGTTAATTTTTTTTTTTTTTTTTTTTTTTGAGTTAATTTTTGTAGAAACAAAGTTGACAAGATACGTTTGTTTAAAGACTGGTTCTATTCATGTTAAACTCATCTTGATTTATCTTGATTATTTTTATTTTACATTATTTAAACTTTTAGAGAAAGATTAAGCAAAGACTTGTTTTTCTTTCTTTGCAAAGTCTGTACTGTATAATGTTCCTTGCATAGGAAACTGAGCATATGGCCTGTAGTATTGTTCTTGGGCTTATTTAGCTGTTATAGCTATAAGCAGGAGTTTAGTTACTGCAGGAGGAAATGCCAAGAAGTCATTAATCAGTAGTGGTGGAAGTGGGGGTGAGTAACTTGATTTTAAATTGTTCTCCCGTCTTTAAGAATTCCTTTATAAAGAAGTGGGAGTTTTGGAGAGAGTGGGGGAAGCAGGCAGGAGGTTTTTCTTCCCTCATTTTAGAGGTTTTTTTTTTTTAAATATTTTTTTTAAAGAGTACAAAGTAGTATTAAAACAGAAAAATTACAAATGATATCTAATTTCACTAAACAAAATAATATGCATTTCGGGCTGGTGAGATGGCTCAGTGGTCTAAAGCACCTACTTAGAACAAGCTAAGCTAAACAAAAGCACAGGGACCTCGGTTCAATCCCCAGCACCACATGCCAGCCAGCCCCGCCCCCTGGCGGGCTGAACTGGCCACACACACAATAAATAAATAAATAAATAAATAAATAAATAAATTTAAAAAAATAATATGCATTTCATAGTGTTGTCTTCAGATTAGTTGTTCATACTACCAGATATATGTATGCAAAATTGAAAGAAGAAAGAAAGAAAAACAATTAAGAAAGTAAGAGTGAAAGAATTGAGGGCTGGTGAGATGGCTCAGTGGTCTAAAGCACCTACTTAGAACAAGCTAAGCTAAACAAAAGCACAGGGATCACGGTTCAATCCCCCAGCACCACATGCCAGCCAGCCCTGCCCCCTGGTGGGCTGAGCTGCCCCCCCCACACAAATAAATAATAAAAAATAAATAGTAAAAAAAAAGAATTGCAAAAAGGAGACAAAATAAATTAAGAATTAACTGCTCCTTTCCATAGACCGGTAGAGATCCACAGTAAAGTTGTCCAAACCATCCTGCTTACATATGTAGATGTTTCTCCCACTCCCTCTTCTGTCCTTCTCCTCAACTCAGTAATTCTTTCCTTTTGAACAGTTTCATTGCCTATTCCCAGTATCTGTTGTACCAATCAGATTTTATTTTCTCTTTCAGGTTCTCATACTAATGAAACAATACAATGTTTGTACATGTGGGTTTGATTTGTTTCACTAAAGAGTGTGGTCTCTAGTTGCATCCATTTACTATAAAAGCCTCAAATTTATCCTTTTTTATAGCTGAATAATACTCCATTGTGTAAAAGTACCACATCTTTATCTGTTCCTCAGTTGATGGGTATTTGAGTTGCTTCGAAGATACAGCTATGAGAAATTTCACTGCTATAAACCTAGGTACACATATATCACTGTGGTATGATGTTCTCAGTTCTTCTGGAGAAATACCCAGGAGGGGAATAGCTGTGTGGAATGGGACCTCCAATCCTAGCTCTTTGAGGAATCTGCACACTGATTTCCATAGTGGTTGTACCTGTCTGTGCTCCCACCAACAGTGGAGGTTTCATTTTTCCCAAAGTCCCTCCAGGTTTTGCTATTGGTTTACTTCTTAATGAAAGTCATTATTTCTGGAGTGAGATGGAATCTCAGTGTTATTTTACTTTGCATATCTTAAGTGACCAATGATGTTAAAAATTTTTTCAAATGTTTTCTTGCCATTTGTATTTCTTCCTCTGAGAAGTGTGTAGTCATCTCAAAGGCCCATTTTTAGGTAGCATCTTTCAAGTTTTTTTTTTTTTTTTTTTTTTTTAATGAATTTAGGACAGGGTGTACAGGGTTTACAGGGTCTCACTACGTAGATTGGGCTTGTAGTGAACCTCCTGTTTTCAGCCTCTTAAGCACTGGGATTACAGGCATGTGCCACCATGCCCAGTTTCAATTGCCGTTGTAGCACGCCCCTGGGGCAGATTAAACCCCAGCTGTTGTGCTCTGCTGAGGCAGGTGCTTTAGTCCACTGAGCTATCTGGGAGGGCCCCAGCATCTTTGAATTTTGGGGTCCTCACTTTAAAATTCTTTATATGTTCTAGATAGAAGGCCTTTGTCAGAGGGACAGTTATAATTTTTTCCAAATTCTTTGGTTTTCTTTTTGCTGTGCTGTAATTTCTTTTGAAGTGCAGAAACGTTTCAAAAAGAAGAGATCTCAGTTGTTTATTCTTTGAAATATTTCCTGTGCATTTCGGTTTTTGTTTATGAACTCTCTACCCCTATGTCTTTAAATTTTCTACCTATATTTTCCTCTGGGAGATGTAGTGTTTCTGTTTTAATGTTTAAATCTCTTATCCATTTTGATTGCAGTTTAGTGCATGGTGATAGACATGGGTCAAGTTTTAATCTTTGACATGTGGAAAACCAATTTTTCTGGCACCATTTGTTAAAGAGACTATGTTTCTTCCAGTGAACATATTTAGCCTCCTTGTCAAAGATAAGGTGGCTGAGAGTGTTTCTGGTTTTGTCTGCATCTTCTAACCTGTTTCACTGACCCTCAGGCCTGTTTTTATGCCAGTATCATGCTGATTTTATCGCAGTAGCTTTATAGTATAATTTCAGGTCAGGAATTGATTGTTCCTGCCTTTCCTTTGTTGCCCAAGATTGCTTTTTTTAAAAAATGTATTTAGTACAGGGTCTACAGCTTCTCACTACACAGATCAGACTTGTAGTGATCTTCCTGTTTTCAGCCTCCCAAGTGCTGGGATTGTAGGCATGCATCATCATGTCCAGTCTTAATCGCTGTCTCAGCACGCCCCAGGGGTGAGGCTGGCATGGCACACTGGGGCTGCCCGGGATTG